TATCTATTATAACAGTAATGATGACTAATGTCATACTCTGATTGCTAGGTTAATAAATCAAATATATGGTCTTATCCTGCATCAGTTTTTGTAATTCCAAATGTCTGTTCTTACACGTTTAACTAAACTGTTAAGATAGAATAACATTTGGTGGGGGCTCAATTAATATGATAATAATTCTTTAATTATTCATAATAACACCGGGAGAAGGTAGAAGACGGAGGAATCATTTGCCCTGTCTAATAATTCATTAAGTATAATGCTATAGACATCTAAAATTCCTTGCCTTCTCTTGTGGGTACCAAGTTCAGCTAATGTTAATGTACTTAACGAGCCAATATGGCTGTTTTCTTGGGTATCCAGGACTTTGTCTGAGAGCAACATAGCTCAGATTTTAGTTCGGTTAATCTTGTGGAGGGAATGTGTTGAGAGGAACATCCCTACTCAACATTATAAACATTTAATCCACCGCGTCACGTCACACTTTCTGTAATCATTTCTTCCTTCACCCTCATTCCTTTCCTGATATGCCCTTTCCTCGCAACACGGTCTATGGCCTTTTGTTCCCATGAGTCCACCTCAATACCTGTATCATTCATGTCTCGCTTGCACACATCTGTATAACGTAGCAGAGGTCGGCTTCGACATTTTTTGCCTGTCTTGCGTATTTTTACAGCGTAATTGATAACCATGTTGCAATTTAAAGAAATTAGAGTGAAACATCCAACTAAATCACCGTGGATCACTACAGAAGTTCTGGAAAGTACGAGAGAACCAGATACGGCTTTTTGAGAGCGCAGTTTTCTTTCACTGTGTTCAGGATGCAGATTTTAAAATTCCTCCGTCTATCTTCTATGTTGTTTGCTTCTGTAAGGGTGTTGAAGGAGATTCTGACTGCTCTATCAACTTGCTCCGCAACTTCTGTATCTGTTAGTTTCACAATGTTTATTACATCTGCTTGTTGAACTGGTTTCTTGGGATGTGTGCCAGCAGGTTTATCAAGCAAAAGTGCCACTGGTCTATGGTCTGAATCTTTTAGTGCATTTGGGATAGCCTTTGAATTTTCTATTCTCCATCTCTCTCTCTCTCTCTCCTTTTTATCACAATAAAATCAATATGTGAAGCTGGATTTAAGTTGTTCCATCTATACTACGTTAATATCTGACTTCTTGGATGTATATAAAAAGTGTTACTGATAATCAAGTCATGTTCTGCACAAAGATTCAGCAGCTGTTCTCCGTCAGAATTACACTCAGTTGTTGTATCGTTGAAGTGTCTCAGAGATCTCTCCCATGGCGTCCTGCGTTTTCCAACTCTTCCATTAAAATCCGCCAGTATGTACAAGCTGTCAGTGTCTTTAACTTTACTTATATTTTCACTTAATTTTTTGAAGAATTCTAAGCTTTGTTCAAGATTGTATGTCTAATGTTGGCACTGACCAACATCATGCAATATAATCAACAATATAAGAGGTCAGATACAGAATCTGGATGTTGTCGTCTCGTCCCCACAACTGCCATTGTTGACAGCTTTCAGAACAAGACACCAGATTTCACTGAACAGACCAAACTCTCTGACACAATAAAAGAACCCTACTAGAACTGTCACACAACACGACAACATGACCAGTTCTATCTGTCTGACCTGGAGACACTCACTTCAACACGACAGCATGACCCGTTCTATCTGTCTGACCAGGAGACACTCACTTCAACACGACAGCATGACCCGTTCTATCTGTTGACCGGGAGACACTCACTTCAACACGACAGCATGACCCGTTCTATCTGTTGACCGGGAGACACTCACTTCAACACGACAGCATGACCCGTTCTATCTGTCTGACCAGGAGACACTCACTTCAACACGACAGCATGACCCGTTCTATTTGTCTGACCAGGAGACACTCACTTCAACACGACAGCATGACCCGTTCTATCTGTCTGACCTGGAGACACTCACTTCAACACGACAGCATGACCCGTTCTATCTGTTGACCGGGAGACACTAACTTCAACACGACAGCATGACCCGTTCTATCTGTCTGACCTGGAGACACTCACTTCAACACGACAGCATGACCCGTTCTATCTGTTGACCGGGAGACACTAACTTCAACACGACAGCATGACCCGTCCTATCTGTCTGACCAGGAGACACTCACTTCAACACGACAGCATGACCCGTTCTATCTGTCTGACCAGGAGACACTCACTTCAACACGACAGCATTAACTGTCCTATCTGTCTGACCAGGAGACACTCACTTCAACACGACAACATGACCCGTTCTATCTGTCTGACCAGGAGACACTCACTTCAACACGACAGCATGACCCGTTCTATCTGTCTGACCAGGAGACACTCACTTCAACACGACAGCATTAACTGTCCTATCTGTCTGACCTGGAGACACTCACTTCAACACGACAGCATGACCCGTTCTATCTGTTGACTGGGAGACACTCACTTCAACACGACAGCATGACCCGTTCTTTCTGTCTGACCTGGAGACACTCACTTCAACACGACAGCATTAACTGTCCTATCTGTCTGACCTGGAGACACTCACTTCAACACGACAGCATGACCCGTTCTATCTGTTGACTGGGAGACACTCACTTCAACACGACAGCATGACCTGTTCTATCTGTCTGACCAGGAGACACTCACTTCAACACGACAGCATGACCTGTCCTATCTGTCTGACCTGGAGACACTCACTTCAACACGACAGCATGACCTGTCCTATCTGTCTGACCGGGAGACACTCACTTCAACACGACAGCATGACCTGTCCTAACTGTCTGACCGGGAGACACTCACTTCAACACGACAGCATGACCTGTCCTATCTGTCTGACCGGGAGACACTCACTTCAACACGACAGCATGACCTGTCCTATCTGTCTGACCGGGAGACACTCACTTCAACACGACAGCATGACCTGTCCTATCTGTCTGACCTGGAGACACTCACTTCAACACGACAGCATGACCTGTCCTACCTGGAGTCTGACTTCTGGCAGACATCTGTCTCACTTCAACACGACAGCATGACCTGTCCTATCTGTCTGACCGGGAGACACTCACTGTCTCAACACGACAGCATTACCTGTCTGTCCTATCTGTCTGATCTGTCTGACCGGGAGACACTCACTTCAACACGACAGCATGACCTGTCCTATCTGTCTGACCTGGAGACACTCACTTCAACACGACAGCATGACCTGTCCTATCTGACAGCATGACCTGGACCGGGACACTCACTTCAACACGACAGCATGACCTGTCCTATCTGTCTGACCTGGAGACACTCACTTCAACACGACAGCATGACCTGTCCTAACTGTCTGACCGGGAGACACTCACTTCAACACGACAGCATGACCTGTCCTATCTGTCTGACCTGGAGACACTCACTTCAACACGACAGCATGTCCTATCTGTCCTATCTGCATGACCTGTCCTAACTGTCTGACCTGGAGACACTCACTTCAACACGACAGCATGACCTGTCCTATCTGTCTGACCTGGAGACACTCACTTCAACACGACAGCATTACCTGTCCTATCTGTCTGACCGGGAGACACTCACTTCAACACGACAGCATGACCTGTCCTATCTACTGAAGTCACTTCACACGACAGCATGTCCTATCTGTCTGACCTGGAGACACTCACTTCAACACGACAGCATGACCTGTCCTATCTGTCTGACCTGGAGACACTCACTTCAACACGACATCATGACCTGTCCTATCTGTCTGACCGGGAGACACTCACTTCAACACGACAGCATGACCTGTCCTATCTGTCTGACCTGAAGACACTCACTTCAACACGACAGCATGACCTGTCCTATCTGTCTGACCTGGAGACACTCACTTCAACACGACAGCATGACCCGTTCTATCTGTCTGACCGGGAGACACTTCAACACGACAGCATGACCTGTCCTATCTGTCTGACCTGAAGACACTCACTTCAACACGACAGCATTTCGTGTCGAATATTTACAGCAATAAACCTTAACAAACGAACTGTATCAAATACCCCAAATTTACAGCAACAAACCTTAACAAACGAACTGTATCAAATACCCCAAATTTACAGTAACAAACCTTAACAAACGAACTGTATCAAATACCCTGAATTTACAGCAACAATCCTTAACAAAGGAACTGTATCAAATACCCCAAATTTACAGCAACAAACCTTAACAAACGAACTGTATCAATTACCCCAAATTTACAGTAACAAACCTTAACAAACGCAGTGTATCAAATACCCCAAATTTACAGTAACAAACCTTAACAAACGCAGTGTATCAAATACCCCAAATTTACAGTAACAAACCTTAACAAACGCAGTGTATCGAATACCCCAAATTTACAGCCACAAACCTTAACAAACGCAGTGTATCAAATACCCCAAAATTACAGTAACAAACTATACTTTTCAGAAGTGAAGCTATTCTAAAAGTGATGATGTATTTGTCAAATAATGACACCAGAACCAGCTGTTTTTTTCCAGTTACATCAAATGACATCTGATTGGAACGACAAACGTACAACTAGTGGGCAAACAAAAGCCTTTGCAGATTAACATCGTGTATGTAATGAAAACATCAAAGCCCAAATGATAAACAGCTCATTACCGAAATATATGCCACTTTACTGCAGTTGCTTTATTTGCTGCAAACATATTTGTTTGAACATTTTATCTGTAACTAAATCTCATAAAAGACAAAAACTAAAGTTTGGTGTATACAAATTCTATATATCTTTCACGTTCGTCGACAATCGAATATTCTTGTTGGTAAATGAATGGCACCATTGTTAGGCCTGTTTCTTTTTTTTTTCCCGAGCTCATTATCCCGACTATTATGATGTACAGAAGTTATGAATATCCCATTATCTCTCCTGCCTAGCTGGTCCCGTCTATTTATCTGCCCCTGTCTGGTGGCTGTTTGTCTCATTGGTAGAGAAAACTGGACAACATGCAGCCTCTCAGACTTGCCGTGTTTCTGGCCTTTATTGTCGGACTCAGAGCTTACGGTGAGTAAACTATTGTGTTTGACATTGTAGATACATACTGACTTGCTCGCTCCTCTTCTACCTTGAGGTGTAGAGGTTTGCCAGAGATCGCCAGACGTCTCTATCAACAGTTTTCTTTCTGGCTTTGTTCAATTCCAGTCCTCTTTAAATCAGGGACTGTCGGATGTTGTCTTCCCAGCAGACCCTGGGTCGCCTTGCAGGTCTGGTTCCCTGGTTCTTAGGCTCCCATGTATTTGACCAAACCATCGTAACTGTAACTGATCTACTTGGGTTTGCAAGGTCTGGGTATCAAGATCTTGACGTACTGTCTGATTGCGGACTTGGACTCCTCTTATCACTTGGACCACCTTTCCCAGATATCTTATTTCTGAGACCTGAAGCTGGTTTCTGTGAGCTGTTGCCATTGCCCATGACTCACACCCACAGGTCAAGACTGGTACATACCGGTCAAAATGGACGCTGGGCGGGCCACTGTTTTGGAGCCGAGGTAATTTTTTTGCTTCTGCTAGACGATGGCCGATGTATTTTTGTTCCATTTGTAGACTGGATATAGTTTCGTCGCCCAGCTTCTGAGTTGAATTCATGATACTGTGAGCTGCGGATTTACTTTGGAATGTTTTTTTCGACTGTGACCAACTTGGTGGTGTGAATTGTAGATTCAGAAAATGGCGCGATTCCTGTCGTCGCAATTTTGGTGGTGCCCGTTTGTGATTAAAATTGATCGCGTGGGCAACTGTATATCTGTTTGTGACTTCTGTTACCATCAATGATAAACTGCATTTCTAATGTCGGACTGTTTGTGTTAGTACTTCGGATGGCTACCGTATGGTTTAATGCGAGTGTATGCTAGATATGCTGAGACAACAGTCTGTCAATCTTTCCACAAGGGGCTGTGATAAACATTCTCTGTGTTTTTCGTTGGCACAGGAGCTGAGCAAAGATGGGGTGACCCGTTTGCTATGAAGCTGAAACTAAGACTACCAGACTGGTACTTACATAGAGCAGTAAACAGCCATTTTCACCCTCTTGCCAATTTCTCTTTGGCTAAGAAAACCTTGGTTTTTGGCCTGCTTTTCGTGTAGCCAGCTGGGTCTTGATGCCTTCATTTTGGTCTCTTACAACTCCAAGGTATTTGAACTGGCTGACCTGCTCCAATGCAAACTGTTCCATCATGATCTTTGTAGATACACAGATATCGATAAAAAAAAAAAAAAAAAAGAAAAACATGATTTCAGATCAACGAAGACAATACAGAAGTGATGACATTCTCCACAACAGAAAGAACCACGACAATCAAAACTGATGAGCATCAGTTGAAGAAGGCGATGGATTGTACAAAACTGATGAGCATCAGTTGAAGAAGGCGATGGATTGTACAAAACTAATGAGCATCAGTTGAAGAAGGCGATGGATTGTACAAAACTGATGAGCATCAGTTGAAGAAGGCGATGGATTGTACAAAACTGATGAGCATCAGTCGAAGAAGGCGATGGATTGTACAAAACTGATGAGCATCAGTTGAAGAAGGCGATGGATTGTACAAAACTGATGAGCATCAGTCGAAGAAGGCGATGGATTGTACAAAACTGATGAGCATCAGTTGAAGAAGGCGATGGATTGTACAAAACTGATGAGCATCAGTCGAAGAAGGCGATGGATTGTTTAAATCCGGGAAGAATTTTTTTTTAGAAGACGGAAGTCCAGCAAAGATTCAATGAAACCAATCAAGTTTTAGTCCAAATAGCACCAATTTTGAAATGCAAGCATGTGAATATATACAGTAAAAGAACAATGTTGAATACAGTATTATCATTAACGCTCAGCTATCAATGTCAAACATGGACACTGTCTTCAGAAGACAGAAGGAAAATATTCACGACATAAATGACATGTTTGCGTTCTATGGTAGGTGTAACGAGGAAAGATCGACTGTGGAACGATGCTATCAAGAGAAGATTTGGCACAGGACCAATAATGAAATGTTTGCGTTCTATGGTAGGTGTAACGAGGAAAGATCCACTATGGAGCGATGATATCAAGAGTAAAGTCAGCAAAGGACCAATAATGAAATGTTTAAGAAGACAACAAATCAAATGGTTTTGGCCATGTAACATGATTGGCATCAGACAAGGCGCCCCAAACAACAATGTTATCCAGATACAACGGTAACCGAGCCAGAGTTCGACCATGAGAATATGACCACAGAAATATCAGAGTCACTGAAAAGTATTTTATACAAAGCGAACAGGAGGGCACGTTCTAGAGATCTCTTCCTGCCCTGAAGCCGCCAGACTGTCCAGGAGTAGAGAACAGAAGAGAAAGAAGATGATTACAGACTTGTGGCGTGACTCGAAACATTGGCACTTGCGCAGACTAACACACACAAGGAGTGATGAGTTCAGATTATCTGATAAGTATCAAGTAGAAGTATATTTTGTTACTGAACTGGTGACAGCTTTAACTCTTTTCGTTGTTTTAACATAACGCACGCGATACCCATTCTGTCCACCTACCCATAATTCCAAACACAAACACAGGTCGCAAACAGACACATTAGCCTAGAGACGCGACATAAAGAATAACAGACAAAGGCAAACCAAATAGACTGCAATACATGAACGGGTAGATAGACTGGTGCGTACTATTGGTAGTACAGTGTTGGGACGTGTGCGCGCACTCGCCAGACAACTAACGAATGGGTCTTTGACTCCACACAGCGCTGACCGACAGTCTGGCCGAGTTTTACTGTGACGTCAATGGCGACTACGATGACAGGGAGCAGGTGGAGAAAGATGGTGGCGACCGTTCTCTGATCGATCTCAAACTGGTGCCGGTAGTCGCACCGTCGCTGTCGCCGGTAAGTGTTTCTGTACAGTGTCTTATTGGTAACAACAGAAAAAAAAACGCTCTTGCAATTATTACTCTGTCTGCTTGTCTGTCTTTTGTCTGCCTGTCTGTTTTTGTCTTTTTGTCTGTTCACCTGTCCCTCTGTCTGTCAATAGCTCTACGTGTCAGTCTTTCTGTGTCTGTTTGTATGTCCCTCTATCTGTCTGTCTGTTTGTCTGTCTGTCCCTCTGTCATCGGTCATCTGTTTTTTTTTCATCCAACTTTATATCATCATTCTATCAGTCTGTCCTGTCTGTAATTTTGTCTATCCCTGCATCCGTCTGTCTAGCTGTCTGTCTTTTGTCTCTGCGCCCGTCTGTCCATCCGTCTGTTAGTCTGTCTGTCAACTGTTTACATGCCCGTCCGCCCTTTAGTCGGTGTGTCGTCTTCTTATATGTCCGATCGCTGTCTGTCCTTCTGTCCATTCATCTATCCATCGGTCGATCTGTCTCTCTATCAACCGGTTGGTCTTCTTATTATCCGTTCCTCTATTCGTCTGTCTGTGTGTCCGTCTGTCTGTCTGCCTGCCTGCCTGACTGCCTGCCCGTGTGTCTGTCTGTCTGTATGTCTGTCTGTCTGTCCCTCCGTCAGTCAGTCTGTCTATCGTCTGCCATCTGCCCGCCCCACCGTCGCTACTGCTTCTGTATGTGTTTCGTCTGCTTATGTGTCTGTCATCTGTCTCTCTAAACCTCCATCCGTCTTTCTACCCATCGGTCCATCTGTCTGTCTGTAATCTATCTAGGTCTGTCATAAGTCTGTATGTCATATGTCGTTCTGTCATCTGTCTGACAATCGATCATTCTGTCCCTTCTTCCATCTGTCTGTCTGTCCATCTGTCTAACTGTCCAACCTCTATCTTTCCCTATGCCCGTCTGTCTGTCTGTCCTGTCTGTCTGTGTGCTGTCTACCCGTCCATCCGTCCGTCTATCTGCTTCCCATCTATTTGTCTGTTCTTTATCTGTGTGGCTGACTATCTCTGTCTGTCTTTTAATCCTATATAATGTACAATAAAAAAAATTAACAAGCAGTCTTATCCCAGCTGCCAGTCTTGTACGTGGTGGAGTCTATAGCTGGAGTCCTAGTCCGAGTTTTGATCCTGATTGTGACACAAGACCCGAAGGGTTATATCTACACTGACCCGTACAACGTCACTGGAAAAACGGACATCAAGTTAGTATCTTGTTCTTCCTGACACAGTTGGACATTACACTGTTTTAGTTACCCAGCCTAGCAACATTGAATCCTCAACTCTGATTCTTTCTTCAATTGAGACTTGACATTTCTTGTTCCTCACTTGACTAGAGTTCTAGTGTTTTCTATAGTTTAGTCAGCAGACATCTGAAACACTGTTCTTCTTTGCGTCCACCAGCTGTAAACTCCAAGGAAGAGTTCTGGTTGTTCGTCCACTTTTACGCTTTTTTTGTTTTTGTTTGTTTGTTCCAGAAGTTGAGTTCTGCGTGCACATCCATTTGACAGATCTGGCCTAAAAACTTGCAGACTGTTGATTTTTTCTCACGGGCAGATGCACACGGACTTGGAAGAAACTACATGTTAGTTGGGAAATCAGTGGGTCTACGATCCCTTCCACTCGCCCCCCCCCCCCCCACACACACACACACAATGGGGTCCCAAAACCCACAACAGAAACATGAAGTGCAGCCTATTGGTCACGTATCCACGTGAGAAAGAAAAATAAAAGGCTGGGATCAAATGTCTTTTGACTCAAATAACTGGAAACTTCTGTTTCTGAAATGTTTAATGTGAATAAAATGCCAAAAAGTACCATTGTGGCAGTAGCTAGTATCAATACCTACCCGACAGAGGTCGTGAGGTTGATTCTCTAAGAGAAAAGGATGCTAAATAAGTAATGAGAAGGTAATCCAACGAACTATGACAATAAAACAACACACACAACAGACAGATCATATACTGTACAACAATAAGAGAAGGAAAAGTTCTTCAAACACCAGTCATTTAGAGTATTTTCCCCTTTTGTTACTGTTGTAAAGTACATACTGCGAAAGGCCCTGTCCGAAACGTCGATTCGTCTGTTGTGTGTATTCTGTTGCCCCTCCTCCTTTCATTGAGATGTTTTGGTCACAATTCTTTGGATTATTTTTTTCGAGGCATACGGCTGACAACAGTAAGGACTGATTTCACCACTTTAAGAATCTATACTAACAAGGTGTCTCAGCTTAACCCAGCTTAATATAGATACAAGAAAGGGTCTGCGTAGAACGGAAGCATGAGACTGAACACCGACATGCAGTGTTGCCTGTTCTTTTGAAATAGTACCATGTACAATATAGAGAATAATCATTGCAGGCAGCACTGACACCAGCTGTCACTGACATCTTTGTTTTGATTAATGGAAGAAGTAGGCATGCTGTAGCTGTGTCAAATACATTGTAACCTCAACCCCCGTCCCCTTCACGCCACACCCCTACCCACCTCCTTTTGCCCAAATACGTCACACAAGTAAATGGGACAATGTTTACATTACATTATGTGCCCCGCTAAAGTAAAGGTATTTGAAGTTTTATCAAGGAGGATCATTTAGAATAGAGCTTGTAAATTAAATAGGGATTACCAGAATATTAAATCAATCTATTTATGTCAATGAGCAAGTATGGAAATTGCTCGTGGACAGACAACCGATCAGTCGCACGCACACACACACAAATACACATAAGCTTGTGCAGACTGTATGTATGTCGCACAGACTAATCCACCCGATGCCTCTTCAAAACCTGACCCTGATGTGCAGAACAAAGTCTAAGGAAGATGCAGAAAAAGCGTAGATTGGTTAAAGGAATGAAGAAACCACCACGGCAGATAAAAAATGTCACGAACAAACCGTCAAGGAAATGCAGAGAGACAAAAGACATCCAATCTTCGATTCTTAAGAACCGTCGAGAATTGCCCCCCCCCCCTCCTTCCCCCCGCTGCCCCGCAGCACTTCTAGATGGTACACAGGTGCCTACAGCTCCTCACAGAGACTCTGGACAACACAACCTCCCACAAACTTTATATACAGCGAGCGAACGCCGAACGAACAATCTGATAACACAACCCACAATATAGGATAGGCCGTGCCAACCGCGGTGACAATGATTGGCAAGGGAAACAATTCTCGCCGTGTGGGCAAACTCGTGAGAAGTTTCGAGTATGTACAAGTGAATTCTTTCCACCGAAATACCCAGATCACATTGTCGGTCTCGATCCTATTCCTCTCATCGGCGAAAGTAGTATTTGTATAGTCAGGTGATTGGCCAATTGAAATTTAAAATTACAACCAATTCCTTTTCCCCAAAGCGAAATAAATAGTTGTTATCAATAAAGCTTTCGGCAGCTTGAACACTTCCCTGTGCAGAACATTTTGATTGAAACAGAATGCACTGTACCTTTCTTATAACATGCCCTGGCTTAAGGAAATAACTACCTATGGAAGATCTAGATTCTTTCGTCTGTGATAATCCTAATACACTTGTGGATCTTCACGCAGACATACATGGAGCCATTTCGGGATGTGTTCTGCCATTCTGCGCCCAAGCTGTGTCTGGTGAAGACACTTATATGAGCTGTCTGCTCTTAAACATTTCATAAGCAAGTCTTCTGTGTATGTTGATGTTGTGAAATCGGCGATTCAAATATGTGCTTGTATGTCTGTGTTAACTTTATCCGTGTGTTTGTTTATTTGATACTGGTCAGACAGTGAAATTGTCTCCACATTACTCGCCCTGATGAATTTTATGAATTTACTAGTGTTCCAGAACCTGAGGGTTGCGTGCACATGTCTCCTACGACATGTTTGTTGAGGAAACAGTGCAGATTTTTGTCCACCCCAAAATGGTGACTTGGAACCAAAACGCGAAAAAAAAAAATCACGCACACTGGACGAGTGGAATATAGGTAAATAGAATAATTAGAGATGTCAGCTTCACACATTTGGTATCTCCTCTACACAGATCAGGGACATTTGACGTCAACCAAGTCAAGTCCTTGACCCCGGCAGACCTTCAGGGGCAGCAAGATTGTAAAGACGTCTTCGAGCCGGTTCAACCTTTTGTCTTCGCTGTCAACTATCCAGACTGTAAGGAGACTCCAGTTAACGGGGTAAACAGTCTGTTTTCACATTCAATTTATTCATTTCCTGATTCTTTCCCTGCCTGGGTATGAACTAGCAAATGTTGGCCCCTAGGATTCTATATTTTCTCAGAGTGTCGGACTGAAGGAGGGTCATGTAATCAATCAATGCGGTCAAAAGAATGAATTGGGGAAAGAGGGATAGAGATACACACAGAGAAACTACAAATACGATTAATTATAATTGTTGGCCGGCGACTAAACTAAATTTGAATATACTAGTCTGCAATCAGTGTGTGATGTGGCGGGCCCACTTTGCCTCCCATGTCCTGTCCCAGAGTGCATGTTAGAAGGTAGAACTTTCAGCTGTAGTTCAGTGGCGCGCTGTCCTGAGTGCGCTAGTTTCTGTTGCAGCTTCTTCGCAACAATTTCTTACATGACATACTTTACTGATATACTTTACTGACACACTTTACTGACATAATTTCTCACATATTTTACTGACACACTTTACTGACATACTTTACTGATAGACTTTACTGACATACTTTACTGACATACTTTACTGATATACTTTACTGACACACTTTACTGACATAATTTACTCACATACTTTACTGACACACTTTACTGACAAACTTTACTGACAGACTTTCCTGACATACTTTACTGATATACTTTACTGACACACTTTACTGACATACTTTACTGACAGACTTTACTGACATACTTTACTGATAGACTTTACTGACATATTTTACTGACATACTTTACTGACAGACTTTACTGACATACTTTACTGATATACTTTACTGACACACTTTACTGACATAATTTACTCACATACTTGACTGACACACTTTACTGACATACTTTACTGATAGACTTTACTGACATACTTTACTGACATACTTTACTGACATACTTTACTGATAGACTTTACTGACATACTTTACTGACATACTTTACTGACATACTTTACTGATATACTTTACTGACGTACTTTACTGATATACTTTACTGACATACTTTACTGATAGACTTTACTGACATACTTTACTGACATACTTTACTGATAGACTTTACTAACATACTTTACTGATATACTTTACTGACACACTTTACTGACATACTTAACTGACATACTTCACTGACATCTTTACCTAAAATATTTTACTGACATACTTTACTGAAATACTTTACTGACATACTGTACTGACATACTGAACTGATATACTTTACTGACACACTTTACTGATATACTTTACTGACATACTTTACTGACATACTTTACTGACATACTTTACTGATATACTTTACTAACATACTTTACTGATATACTTTACTGACACACTTTACTGACATACTTAACTGACATACTTCACTGAAATCTTTACCTAAAATATTTTACTGACATACTTTACTGAAATACTTTACTGACATACTGTACTGACATACTGTACTTATGTACTTTACAAACATACTTTACTGACATACTTAACCTACCTACTTTACTTATATACTTTACTGACATACTTCAATGCATCTTTTACTGACGTATTTTATTGACATACTTTACTGATAGACTTTTCTGACATACTGTACTGACGTACTGTACTGATGTACTTTACTGACATACTTTACTGACATACTTTACTGAAATACTCTACTGACATACTCTAATGACATACTTAACTGACATACTCTATAGACATACTTTACTGAAATACTCTACTGACATACTCTACTGACATTCTTTACTGACATGCTTTACTGACATATTCTACTGTCATATTTTACTGAAATACTTTTCTGACATACTTTTCTGACATACTTTTCTGACATACTTTTCTGACATAGTTTTCTGACAGACTTTACTGTTGCTGACATACTTTACTGTTGCTGACATACTTTACTGTTGCTGACATACTTTACTGTTGCTGACATACTTTACTGTTGCTGACAGACTTTACTGTTGCTGACAGACTTTACTGTTGCTGACAGACTTTACTGTTGCTGACAGACTTTACTGCTGCTGACAGACTTTACTGTTGCTGACATACTTTACTGTTGCTGACATACTTTACTGTTGCTGACAGACTTTACTGTTGCTGACAGACTTTTCTGTTGCTGACAGACTTTACTGTTGCTGACAGACTTTACTGTTGCTGACATACTTTACTGTTGCTGACAGACTTTACTGTTGCTGACAGACTTTACTGTTGCTGACAGACTTTACTGTTGCTGACAGACTTTACTGTTGCTGACAGACTTTACTTTTGCTGACAGACTTTACTGTTGCTGACATACTTTACTGTTGCTGACATACTTTACTGTTGCTGACATACTTTACTGTTGCTGACAGACTTTACTGTTGCTGACAGACTTTACTGTTGCTGACATACTTTACTGTTGCTGACAGACATTACTATTGCTGACAGACTTTACTGTTGCTGACATACTTTACTGTTGCTGACATACTTTACTGTTGCTGACATACTTTACTGTTGCTGACAGACTTTACTGTTGCTGACAGACTTTTCTGTTGCTGACAGACTTTACTGTTGCTGACAGACTTTACTGTTGCTGACAAACTTTACTGTTGCTGACCGACTTTACTGTTGCTGACAGACTTTACTGTTGCTGACAGACTTTACTGTTGCTGACAGACTTTACTGTTGCTGAGATGTGTCAGCTGGTCTGTTGACTACTGACGATGTTGATCTGAGGCCAGGATTTTTTTTTTTTTTAATGAATTAAACTTTAAACGTCTGAGCTTGAAGGCATGAGAAGACTAAGTCCTCCTGTTGTTAAACTTTAAACGTCTGAGCTTTAAGGCATGAGAAGACTAAGTCTCCTGTTGTTAAACTTTAAACGTTTGAGGTTGAAGGCATGAGAAGACTAAGTCCTCCTGGTGTTAAACTTTAAACGTCTGAGCTTGAAGGCATGAGAAGATTAAGACCTCCTGTTGTTAAACTTTAAACGTCTGAGCTTGAAGGCATGAGAAGACTAAGTCCTCCTGTTGTTAAACTTTAAACGTCTGAGCTTGAAGGCATGAGAAGACTAAGTCCTCCTGTTTTAAAACTTTAAATGTCTGAGCTTGAAGGCATGAGAAGACTAAGTCCTCCTGTTGTTAAACTTTAAACATCTGAGCTTGAAGGCATGAGAAGACTAAGTCCTCCTGTTTTAAAACTTTAAACGTCTGAGCTTGAAGCCATGAGAAGACTAAGGCCTCCTGTTGTTAAACTTTAAACGTCTGAGCTTGAAGGCATGAGAAGACTAAGTCCTCCTGTTGTTAAACTTTAAACGTCTGAGCTTGAAGGCATGAGAAGATTAAGACCTCCTGTTGTTAAACTTTAAACGTCTGAGCTTGAAGGCATGAGAAGACTAAGTCCTCCTGTTGTTAAACTTTAAACGTCTGAGCTTGAAGGCATGAGAAGACTAAGTCCTCCTGTTGTTAAACTTTAAACGTGTGAGCTTGAAGGCATGAGAAGACTAAGTCCTCCTGTTTTAAAACTTTAAACGTCTGAGCTTGAAGGCATGAGAAGACTAAGTCCTCCTGTTGTTAAACTTTAAACATCTGAGCTTGAAGGCATGAGAAGACTAAGTCCTCCTGTTGTTAAACTTTAAACATCTGAGCTTGAAGGCATGAGAAGACTAAGTCCTCCTGTTTTTAAACTTTAAACGTCTGAGCTTAAGGCCATGAGAAGACTAAGTCCTCCTGTTTTCAAACTTTAAACATCTGAGCTTGAAGGCATGAGAAGACTAAGACCTCCTGTTGTTAAACTTTGAACGTCTGAGCTTGAAGGCATGAGAAGATTAAGTCCTCCTGTTTTAAAACTTTAAACGTCTGAGCTTGAAGCCATGAGAAGACTAAGGCCTCCTGTTGTTAAACTTCAAACGTCTGAGCTTGAAATCATGAGAAGACTAAGTCCTCCTGTTGTTAAACTTTAAACGTCTGAGCTTGAAGGCATGAGAAGACTAAGTCCTCCAGTTGTTAATCTTTAAACGTCTGAGCTTGAAGGCATGAGAAGACTAAGTCCTCCTGTTTTTAAACTTTAAACATCTGAGCTTGAAGGCATGAGAAGACTAAGTCCTCCTGTTTTAAAACTTTAAACATCTGAGCTTGAAGGCATGAGAAAACTAAGTCCTCCTGTCGTTAAACTTTAAACTTCTGAGCTTGAAGGCATGGGAAGACTAAGTCCTCCTGTTTTAAAACTTTAAACGTCTGAGCTTGAAGGCATTAGAAGACTAAGTCCTCCTGTTTTAAAACTTTAAACGTCTGAGCTTGAAGGCATGAGAAGACTAAGTCCTCCTGTCGTTAAACTTTAAACTTCTGAGCTTAAAGGCATGAGAAGATTAAGTCCTCCTGTTTTAAAACGTTAAACGTCTGAGCTTGAAGTCATGAGAAGACTAAGTCCTCCTGTTTTAAAACTTTAAACGTCTGAGCTTAAAGGCATGAGAAGACTAAGTCCTCCTGTTTTAAAACTTTAAACGTCTGAGCTTGAAGGCATGAGAAGACTAAGTCCTCCTGTCGTTAAACTTTAAACTTCTGAGCTTGAAGGCATGAGAAGATTAAGTCCTCCTGTTTTAAAACTTTAAACGTCTGAGCTTGAAGGCTTGAGAAGACTAAGTCCTCCTGTTTTAAAACTTTAAACGTCTGAGCTTGAAGGCATGAGAAGACTAAGTCCTCCTGTTTTAAAACTTTAAACGTCTGAGCTTGAAGGCATGAGAAGACTAAGTCCTCCTGTCGTTAAACTTTAAACTTCTGAGCTTGAAGGCATGAGAAGATTAAGTCCTCCTGTTTTAAAACTTCAAACGTCTGAGCTTGAAGGCATGAGAAGACTAAGTCCTCATGTTTTAAAACTTTAAACGTCTGAGCTTGAAGGCATGAGAAGACTAAGTCCTCCTGTTTTAAAACTTTAAACGTCTGAGCTTGAAGGCATGAGAAGACTAAGTCCTTCTGTTTTAAAACTTTAAACTTCTGAGCTTAAGGCCATGAGAAGACTAAGTCCTCCAGTTGTTAAACTTTAAACGTTTGAGCTTGAAGCCATGAGAAGACTAAGACCTCATGTTGTTAAACTTTAAACGTCTGAGCTTGAAGCCACGAAAAGACTAAGTCCTCCTGTTGTTAAATTGAGGTTCTGACACAACTATATTTCAGTCACGGTCCTCCTACGGTGTCACTGTCACCTGTAACGAATTCTTCGCCATTGTCCCTGCTGGTGCGCCCGAGAAGCCCACGTTAGTGCCGTACCAGTTCAAGCGCCGTGGAAACAAGTAAGACCTGCCTTTGTTCTTGTAGTTACCATCTACTTCTGTCTGTCTCTGTTTTCTACACTTCTTTATTTTCTACCTGTCAGATATGACAGAGAAAGGGATCAATAGAAGACTTGATTTGTCTCGCAGACTTGACAGGCTAGTAAACATTGGTGTATCTTTAATGTGTGCTTAGGAGAAGGTTTCATCATATTTCCCCACATAAACGGTCACTTGGCAAAACAATAGGTAAATCATTAACGGCCTGACAGGTAGACCTACGACAACAAAAATAAAACAATAGCATGTCTGTCAATCAATACAGACAGCCAGTGTGTGGAAGAGAGTGGTACATGAGCCACAAATAAGAAATGGACAAATCTAGAAGTTTATTAGTCAGACAACGGTCGGAATCTAATTATAATATCGAACACGTCCGACTGTATTTTCAGAACACATAACTTTGTAAGCACATTAAAATGTCACACAATGCAACACATGGAAACTACCACCAGTAACCAATTTTCGAGGGGATTTCGGCAAAAAGTCACGTGATTTAGTTGGTAGGCGTATCTGGAGAAGGCGGTGTGTCGGGAGCATGTTGTGGCCCAGCAGATATTACACATAGAATCGCACATATACACAACAAATATCTTGCTCCCATATTTTTTTTGTTGTTGTTGCGAAGAACAGAAAGCGCAAAAAAAAAAAAAAAATCTTGTCCACCAGGTGGGTTTTCTGGCTACTCTGCTTTATGACTGTTTAACGTTGTCGACTTATTCACACCGTGAGACAAGGCTAAATAATTGTTAGATGCGATGCCTAAGAAAAATAATTGGCACTAAGTGGTCGGACAAGATCACACACACTCAGATACTGGAAAGAGCAGGTATTGCAGCAGTTCTCTCACTGCAAACAGCCCCATGTAGCTTAGTCATACTTGAGAACAGAGGATGGTAGAGTCCATAAGGCTATCCTGTATGGTGAATTACAGATCACACTTGAGAATAGAGGATGGTAGAGTCCATAAGCCTATCCTGTATGATGAATTACAGAAAGTTATAAGATATCGAGGCCGACTTCGACTACTGTAAAAAAAATGTATCAAGGGTTACATGAATGATACCAGTACTGAGTTAGATTCACGGATAAAAACTGCATAATCCGAGTTGCATGGAGGGGAGAATGAGATTGGAGCGAGAATAAGGGGACACATGATGAGGAAAGTAGGTTAGCTGAGCGTCTGAGAAGAAACACATGAATGAGGAAAGTAGGTTAGCTGAGCGTCTGAGAAGAAACACATGAATGAGGAAAGTAGGTTAGCTGAGCGTCTGAGAGGAAACACATGATTGAGGAAAGTAGGGGTGCTGAGCGTCAGAGAAGAAACACATGATTGAGGAAAGGAGGGGTGCTGAGCGTCTGAGAAGAAACACATGATTGAGGAAAGGAGGGGTGCTGAGCGTCTGAGAAGAAACACACTAAATAAATATGATGACAACAACGATCCTGAAATCCCATGTCATAATTATTGTGGAAGACTTTTCCTAACCCGGGCGGGTCTTGCTGGTCACACTCGCCATTGCCATGGGCTGTGAGTCCCATGTTTCCCCATAGCGCAATGTACAACTATAGTATAGAAAGATGGAAAGGTGCCAGCAAAACACTATATATATATTCTATATACATATATATATATGTACATATTGTATATATATATATATATATATATATATATATATATATATATACACACACACACACACACTCACTATGGAAATAATCACTTCTAACAACCTCAAGAAACTAAAAGAAAAATTAAACCCATCAAATCAACGAGACCTAAATCAGTTCGTCTGTGTGTGTTTGTGTGTGTGTGTGTTTGTGTGTTTGTATGTATTAAACGTAGGTGAAGACGAATGTAGACAAAAATCCGAAACTGTCTTGAATTATCAGACTGACTCCAAATTCACCGCTCTGATGATGACACCAACTTCAGCATCTCTGGGTGTCCAAACTGTTGTGAGTAGAGTGACCGGACCTGTTACTTGTCAACAATAGCCGATATGCTGGAGCCTAAACACAAGTCAGAAGACCAGTGCTTTAAAATTAAACATCATCATCAATATGAAGGTCCATTTCAAAATGTCGCTCTCTTGATGGATTCGTGAATGTCTTTTTTCCCAGCCAATTCTCGAGCCCTATGTGCTTTCATAGCTAATGAATCTCCTAGGATGGGAGGCCATTTTTCCTTTTTTGAAAGCTCCACTCCGGCATTTGTCATGGGCCCTAATATAACCCAACTTAGGGGTTGCGCCCGGATCGGGTGATCCTCATTTGAATGGTGGCACATTGTATCGCTGGATGTTGGTCGCTCGTTGTATGGTCCTGGCGTCATTAAACAACAACAGCCGTCGGGCGTATTGGGCAAATAGAACTAGACGTATATTTTATAGACAAATGGGCATTCTATGGGTGAAGTGATAAGCATCACGCTAGCCGTACTTGCTTCCCAGGACTTGGTCGAACTCGGAGTGACGGTCATTATTGGAAAAAAAGATCCGGCTCCGTAATGCCCTCAGCCCGGAACACTCAGATAAACAGACGAGCACCTAGCTGCTACATCAGGGTTGCTTCCACCATGTTATACCACTGGCACTGATATAACAGTATACTTTATTTAGTAACGTCAGTCAGAGAATGCACCCTTGTTGAATGTAGCTTCTGTCCTAATATAACTGTGTTAAACACTTGAATATGGTTTTAAAGTTGTGTTGCTGTTCGATCTTTTTCCGCTCGGTGGTTCTTTGAGTCGCTGGGTGTTGATCTTTTACAATGCAATCTAGGTGGGATGGTTGTGGTTAATAACATTGCGACCACACTCAGTAAACGAATATTATACGGTGACAAGACGGTACAGTAATAATATGATTGACTAGCGGAAACAGAAACCTAACTTGAGTCTTTTCTGTGATAGGTATCAACTGGAAGATGCCCCAAGCAATTATGTTTGTGACTGTGATAAGCCGAGCAACTGACGGAGACAACTGAGATAACACAAGTGGCCGACAAGACAACTGAGATAACACGAGTGAACGGGCATGCCTGCAAATACAGTTACCTCGCTTAGTTGTAATTAAAATAAAACAATGCATCTAAACTGTTGTTAACTTCTATTAAATTTCGTTTATGTTTGTTATCGTCACGTATCAATTTCATTAGTGTTTGATATCGTCACTTATCCATTTCGGTAGTCTTTGATATCGTCACTTATCCATTTCGGTAGTCTTTGATATCGTCACTTATCCATTTTGTTAGTGTTTGATATCGTCACTTATCCATTTCGGTAGTCTTTGATATCGTCACTTATCCCTTTCGGTAGTCTTTAATATCGTCACTTATCCATTTTGATAGTGTTTGAAATCGTCACTTATCCATTTCAGTAGTCTTTGATATCGTCACTTATCCATTTTGTTAGTGTTTGATATCGTCACTTATCCATTTCGGTAGTCTTTTATATCGTCACTTATCCATTTCGGTAGTCTTTGATATCGTCACTTATCCATTTTGTTAGTGTTTGATATCGTCACGCATCTGTTTCCTTAATATTCGATATCGTCACGTTTTCATTTCGGTAATGTTTGATATCGTCACTTATCCATTTCGTTAGTCTTTGATTTCGCCACTTATACTTTTCGGTAGTCTTTGATATCGTCCCTTATCCATTTTGTTAGTGTTTGATATCGTCACTTATCCATTTCGGTAGTCTTTGATATCGTCACTTATCCATTTCGGTAGTGTTTGACTTATCTACTTCGTTAGTGTTTGATATCGTCACTTATCCATTTCGGTGGTGTTTGATATCGTCACATATCCATTTCGGTAGTGATTGATATCGTCACTTATCCATTTTGTTAGTGTTTGATATCGTCACTTATTATTTTCTCTAGTGATTGATATCGTCAATTATCCATTTTGTTAGTGTTTGATATCGTGACGCATCTGTTTCCCTAATGTTTGATATCGTCACGTTTTCATTTCGTTAATGTTTGATATCGTCACTTATCTATTTCGTTAGTGCTTGGTATAGTCACTTATCCATTTCGTTAGTGTTTGATATCGTCACTTATCTTTTTTAGTAGTGTTTGATATCGTCTCTTATCTATTTCGGTAGTGTTTGAAGACTTTACTTATCCATGTCGGTAGTGTTTGATATCGTTACTAATCCATTTTGTTAGTGTTTGATATCGCCACTTATTCATTTCGTTAGTCTTTGATATCGTCACTTATCCATGTCGGTTGTGTCTGATGGCGTCACTTATCCATTTCAGTAGTGTTTGATATTGTCACTTATCCATTTTGGTAGTGTTTGATATCGTCACGTATCCATTTCGGTAGTGTTTGATATGTTCACTTATCCATTACGATAGTGTTTGATAACGTCTCTTATCCATTTCGGTAGTGTTTGATATCTTCACTTATCCGTGTCGTTGATGTTTGATATTGTCACTTATCCATATCGGTAGTGTTTGATATCGTCACTTATCCATTTCGTTAGTGTTTGATATCTTCACCTCTCCATTTCGGTAGTGTTTGATGACGTCACTTATCCATTTCGACCCTTACACAAACAGGACTGCAACGTGGGCTAACAGTTACTGGTACTCTGATTATAAATTCTCATGAGATTGAACAGGGTATATGCGATTCACCCTGCTGGTCTGCTTCCGTGATGAGGTTTGTCAGCTTATAATCATTAAAATCAGCAATGAAGATCGAGTTTGGCTGGTATAGAATCCTTACAGCCTCTGCAAGCCTTTTGCTAGAATATACTGGTGTAAGAGGAGACGAACGATCTGCTAGGCTTGTTGACAGCTCTACTGGGAAAAGGCTCTTTGATGGCACAGACAGTAGTCAGAATTAGAACTGTTTGTGGCACTGACAAGATGTCTCTTAGTGTGAAGATTGGGTTACAGCGTCGCCCAGCAAAACAGACTTGCGCAGAGTTAGTTACCTGGGACCCAGGGTGCCGAGGAGGGATAGCTGGTGAAACAGAGACAGCAGTGTAAGTACTAATTAGTGAAAATTCACTCCTAGGTGACATCATAATATATACATATAGGTCTGTAGTGAGAGGTAAGAATAGTGGGTGGAGTTTTATTGCGAAGTTGAATGGACACTGCTTGAAAACAGAGAGCTCGGGTACAATCACACTACATCCAGTATGAGAATGGAGGTGGAGGCAGTAATCACAGCTTTCCGATGGTTTGAGACCAGCAAAGCCCAAAATGTTATATTGTAACAGCCTCACACGGCATGCAATTGAAACTGGTGTGCTGCGTGCAGAGTGGCTAGCATCACTCGATAAAACCCAAAGCAAGAGCATATCCTGGATTTCCAGTCTAGTAACTTCAGGTGTGCGGGGGAAGGAGCAGGCTGATAGATGAGCTGCTGTTGCTGAATGCGGTGAGATACTATATGATAAATCCGGTGTGGCAAAGGCTCTATGTGATCAGATGGACAGTGCGAAAGAAGAGAAAGGTAATCCATACACTGAAAAATACATTCAACGAGGGATTGAGTAAAGTTCTGGAAGATATTCAACACTCAGAAGGAAACAGATGCGGACTTTGAATCAGGTTACAACTGATGCTATCAGCTTGTCAACCCCTCGTTGGTTACTGGTAGAGGAGACGGATAAAGCGAGTGAATGTCTCTAGTGTAGTGATGTAAATTCTTGAATCATTCATCATTCATTTATGCATTCATCATTCACATATTTTTTTTTAATGATTTTGTGGAAAGCCGACGAGCTATTTGCCAGGATGATATACTTTTTGCTATTCGAGAAGTAAGGCTGTTAGAAAATCAGATGAAGACTAATTAATTTGCAGCATTGGCAGACTATCTTTAGAAGCACAATCTACAGCAGACTACCTAGAAAACAAAAGCAGCTAGTAACCACCGAAAGATGAAAGATGAAGTTTAAAAACACGGAACCAGCCATCATTTCTAGACAGTCTTGCCATGACGTACATTTGGATGTGGAGGTTAGAGACGGCGGTTTGATGAGGTGAAATAGATCTAAATCATCGAAATATTCGTAGACATTTTTATGGGAATTTTATATCGGTACTGAAGTATTTAGTCCCTATTTTATTTCAATAACTTTTAGGGTTTAATGATTTCACTATAGTTTTAGTTTATGTTTATTCGACGGATAGAAATTATAGAACACGGTGTAACCCATAAATGTTTTGTTCTTACCACTCAAGTCTGATTCCAAAAAATTCCAGCGCAGTGCACAAACTCTGTAGCGCCGGCGAGGATCTTGAAACACTTAGGGTAGATTTTTAGCACTAAATTTTGCCGTGGCAGCTTCGTTAGCCTGCTCTTTTCGAGTCAGATAGAAGAACCAGTTAACAAAGTAACTAGAGATGAAAATCACAACGCGACCTAAATAGTATGTAGTATTATAGAGCTAAAACAGCGACCATTCATAATATCATTGATGTTGTTTGTGATATCACTGAAGTATCACAATAAAGGCAGTATAGAAAAAAAAAAAAAAAACGAGTTGTTTCAAGATATTTTGTTACACATCAGAGTGACGTCATCTGCATGAATCAAGCATGAGAGACCATCATCATCATCATCAATATCGACACCACGATCTTTCTTCTCGTCTATTCTCTTTCAATGGACTCCCTCTGTAGCAAACTAAAGACGAACCTGAATGTGACATACACACACAAGATAGTTGTGCTACAAACCCTTTCTCCAGAGCCAGGGTGTTTCTTTTAGCACATGAGGCATCTCTCGGCAGTTAGAAGACCCTGTACAGTATTTACTATTTTTTTTAAATTATATATACTTTGTTTTCAAACATATGAAAGGGCCTTCTCTCGTTGCTAGTGTATTAAAAAATATGTTGCCAGACCCAGTTTACCAGACCCACATTTTGACAGACCCACAGTTTACCTGACCAACAATCTGACAGACCCAATTTACCAGACCCACTGTTTGCCAGACCCACAGTTTACCTGACGCAAAGTTTGACAAACCCACAGTTTGCCAGACCCACAGTTTACCAGAATCACAGTTTACCTGACCCACAGTTTGACAGACCCAGAGATTGCCAGACCCACAGTTTACCAGATTCAAAATTTGACAGACCCACAGTTTGACAGACCCACAGTTTGACAGACCCACAATTTGACAGACCCAGAGTTTGCCAGACCCACGGTTTGACAGACCCACAGTTCGACAGACCCATAGTTTGACAGATCCAAAGTTTGACAGACGCACATTTTACCAAACCTACAGTTTGAGATCCACAGTTTATCAGACCCACCGTTTGCCAGATCCAGTTTACCATACCCACAGTTTACCAACCCACAGTTTGCCTGACCCACGCTTTTCCGGACCCATAGTTTGACAGACCCACAGTTTACCTGATCCACAGTTTTCCAGACCCACAGTTTACCTGACCCACAGTTTGACAGACTCACAGTTTACCTGACCCACAGGTTACCAGATCCACAGTTTACCAGACCCACAGTTTAACTGACCCACAATTTACCTGACCCACAGTTTGACAGACCCTCTGTTTACCTAACCCACAGTTTAACTGACCCACAGTTTAACTGACCCACAGTTTGTAAGACCCACAGTTTGACAGACCCACAGTTTGACAGACCCACAGTTTGACAGATTTGGGTGTGTACTCATACGACTGCCCCATAAGGGGAGAAATGTGTTTGTGTACTCATACGACTTCATCACGTGGGGAGATATATGTGTGTGTACTCATTCGACTGTACCACGAGGGGAGATATGTGTGTGTGTGTGTGTGTGTGTGTGTATACTTATTCGACTGCACCATGAGGGGAGAAATGTGTGTGTGTATTCATACGACTTCATCTCGTGGGGAGATATGTGTGTGTACTAATTCGACTGCATTACGAGGGGAGATATGTGTGCGCGTACTCATTCGACTGCACCACGAGGGGAGATATGTGTGCGTGTACTCATTCGA